CCCACGGAGCAGCTCGCGGGAGACCCTCTGCCCTTTCCTCTGCCTCCCCGCTCCCCGTCCGGGGCAGGGAGTTTAGAGGCGGGCCGCGGAAGCTTTCGGGTGGGCTCGGTCAAGGGGCGCGGCCGCCTGGGCGCGGCGCTCCGATTAGATGCGCCCTTCTGGGCGTGCAGGCCGGTCCGGGGCCACCGGAGGCGCGACTTCGGTACTTGGTTTGTCGTGGGAGCCTCCCCGAGTGTCGTCCGCCGCAACCCCCAGATTCTCCTTCCGCCCGTGGGGCGAGGCCTCTGAGAGTTACTGCTTCCTTGATGTACAGAACAACCACCCCGCGGGGCAGGCTGGGCCGAGAGGGGGGCTGGCCCCACGTCACCCCGGGAGCTTCCATGCCTGGGGTGGCCTGCCCCGAGTCTCCCCACTTGTCACCCACCCCCATTCTCCAAGACGGGCCAACCAGCCGTGGTAGGAGCGGAAGCTGCTGCCAGCAGTGAGGACGAAGGAGCAGGCCAGTTCAGCCGGCAAGGTCGCCGCAGCAAATCGTTGAATGTCCAGGTCGGAAGGGACCTAGAGATCACCTGGCCCAGGGCAGGAACCTGCTGCTAACCACATTGCTCTCCTGCCTGCTTCAGCACCTCCCAAGGCAGCCAGACCTATTGTTAAATAACTCGGGGAATTTCTTCCTGGGGCCCAAGGCAAAATCTACTTCCATGAACTGTATTTTTTGGTGTTCTCTCTTGGAGCTACGGTGAACGGTTCGGCCATGACGCCCATCAGATTCTCAAAGGCCGGCTGGGGAATTCTGGGAATTGAAGTCCACACATCTTAACGTTGCTGAGGTTGAGAAACACCGCATGGATGGATATTTGGTCGATACAAGTGTTCAGTGTATCCATCTGATACGTAGTTCCGGCCATATTTTGTCATTTTCTGTAGTAGAATCTCATGGGAGTCTTCATTTAATGCTTTGTTGAAATCAAGGTATACTACATCTGCTGCATTCCCACGGTCAGCTAAATCAGTCACTCTAACAAAGAAGGAGAGGAAGTTGAGACCGTCATGGTTTCTTCTTGAGAACCCCCCTCACTCCTGCCAGGCAACATGTTCTTTTCTAAATGCCACAATCCAAGCGCGCGCACTCCCTGGTATGAGGAAGAGCTCGGACAGGTTGAAATGGTTTCCCTGTGTGTTGCAGAAGGTTGGGCTACGCCAGCGATGGCAAACCTTTTGGGCTCGGCGCGTCAACAATACGGAAAATGCCTAACTTGACTCTGCTGGCATGTCACCCCCCCCCACCCACAAAGGAAAAACAATTCTTTACATATTCATTTATTTTAAAAAATACAGTCCAATCGTGTGGTGCTTTGTATTATATAAAGAAATCTCAAATAATTACAAAAATGAAATATGAGTAAAACAAACTCAATGTATTGTCGAAGGCTTTCACGGCCGGCATACGATGGCTGGTGTGCGTCTTCCGGGCTGTGTGGCCGTGGTCTTGAAGTCTTGTTTCCTAA